TGCACTGAGCACTGATCCTCAGATTGATCTGGAAGGATGTCATGTCAGCACAAGTCAATGGATGACATAAGGATCTTGTTGACTTACTTGCCAAGTCCAAATACTGCATGTATAGTTCTAAAGTTGACATTAGTTTGCACATGGCATGCATACTTTGGGACATGCATACGATTCATAAATATATTGGTAGTTTATAACCTGTTTAATGTATTAATTTGATGAACAATAACTTACACAGACCTACCGATCAATACTGGGCTATATAATCATTTGGCATCCAGTCTTTATTATTGATTATCGATGCGAAGGAACTTAAATACGTCATGGCCTATCTGCTATGGATTCCCAGATACAGATGCAGCTCCAGCAACGACTAAATAGTCTGTTTGGCCGGCGCACTTTTCAATTAGTGCAGCTGCCCTGCTGGAAGCTTCTACAAACATAACTGTCACCAAAAATATAATGAATTTCACATCACAGCAGCACGTTAAGTCATGAGCTCATGCGTGGTTTATGTTTGTGCTTGTTAGATGGTTTAGTTTAACTGGTACTTGCTAATACGCAGATGAGGAATTGGCTTGCCTGAAGGTTAGAGATGGATGGCTGGCTGGCTTAAATGAATGAGTAATGCAGCTACTGTTGAAGTGCCCTTGGAAGAGGCACTGAACCCCCCCAATTGCTCCAATTTTCTTGCTCGGTGGCCAAAAATGCAAAACTGTGGCTGCACTAGGTGGCTACCAAATGGGGTTGTGTTGAAGAAGTGAAAGAGTAAAAACTGGGAGAGAAAGTGGCCACCATGCAAATGTTGGTTCATTCTGGCTGTCGTTTGTACCATAGGTTGGTTTACTTTGCCACTTTGGCAGCTAACTAAGCACCAATTGGAGGTTGTGCACTACTGTCCTACAAATGTAGTTGGCTATTGAATAAGTAGAAGTAGGTATCAGCAAACCAACTATAATTTAGACCTCTCATTCTTATTGATGATATTCTTGACTTTAAGTCTAGGTTGATGGGAAACAATAATGTTTTCCCACGACTTTCATAGGTTGTAAGATGACAGAATGACCCGTAAGTTGTAAAACAATATGGTGTCCTGCTATGACACAGTGATGCCGTCACACGTGGACTTCTCTCGTTTCTCCTTGACTAGTACTTCAGGGTTAAATTATACCTTTGATCTAGCACTTTGGAAATTAAACTACTTCTGGCTCAAATAGCTGATCCAGTAAAAAGTTGAGAGCACTTGGTCTACAGGGTCAAATTCAATCTGACTGCCTTTATTATACTACATATAATTCATGGTGCAGCTATTACTAAGGATCAATAGCACTTAAACCACTCCATTGATATTGAAACCTGAGCTGATTTAAAAGCACAAAGGTTTTTGGACAAACCAGAGAAACAAACACACACATACCACTATTTGATACAATGTAGTGATTTCCCAAAATGCTGCTGCTGTCCTGTTTGCTGTTCACTTCCTGTGATTGCTCTTCTAGGCGCATACAAACACTTAACTGACTGCAAAAAAAAAATCTGGCTTTTCATTAGATTGGATTGCTGTGTTTTGGTCTTCCGTTTACTTGGAATGTTTGAAAGGCCAGCCGGCCTGCAATGCTGGAGGCACTCAGTCGCACTCTTTTGCTATTCTTGCCCCGGGCACTGCATTGATTTCATTTCCTCCCAAATAAATCCCCAACTAAGGTGGTGTGATTACGCGAGTGAAGGATGTATCCTCTCAAGTAGGGATAAACATGGCTAAACCCATATGGACAAACACACATTTGCGACTTCTACAACCAATTGTGAAGCCTGCAGGCTTTATTATGTGTATGTATGTGTGTGTGTGTGTGTGTGTGTGTGTGTGTGTGTGTGTGTGTGTGTGTGTGTGTGTGTGTGTGTGTGTGTGTGAATGTATTTTTGATTGCCAAACCACCACAAACATTAGCTCTGCAAAAATCACCCAGCGGATAGATGGACTGGTGGAGGTGGACAGAAATCCCGTTACACCTCAAAGCGAATGGAATATGCTGGGGATGAAGTTTGATTGCTGACCACCCAATCCTGTCACCTGCGGGGCTCTCAAGGCCTACATCCAAAACTTTAGCCCAATTCTCAGCCTCGCCGTTATCAGCACTAACAGCTGCATAAGCGCGGTGCAGCGTAGCAGCAATTAGGTATTAGGTGGCCAGTGGGGTGCACACACATCAGGCTACATAAACACAACTCAGAGAACAAGCTGCGATTACAACACTCAGGAGGAGTGTAACTTCCTGTTCTGCTCAAGGAGACATTACTCTACGTTACGTTGACAGTGAAAATAGTTGTGTTCTAAATATGGAGTTTAGCACCTTAAACGTGTCATGGTCTTTCAGTTACGAGATAATGTTTGGCGGTTGCATTCTGAGACATCAAACGGAAGCGATTCTCTACAATTCTCCCACCTGCCAAGGTTCTTTTCAATTTCACTACACAAGCATGAATGCCTTCCAGAAAGGACAAAGGAGTGAGCAACGCAGCTTGGAAAAAAAAGAACAAGTCAGACAATGCCTCAATTTACAACGTGATCTCCAAAACCTGTTCGTAAAAATGTATACGAAAATCTTGAACATACAAATTCGTAACAATACATACGAACTGGCGGTGGTTAACCACGCCCCTTGAGTGAGCAACGTGGCGGACCATGTCGGATTCTTGAGTGAACGTCTCTCCGCCATGTTGGATTTTTTGAGGGGGTTAGGGTTAGTATTCCATTCTTACAAGTTAACATTGATTTCTCGTTAAAAATGCAATCATAACACGTTTATTTTACATCGTTAGACTTCACAAAGTGTGTTTACGGGGTGCAGGTCCCCATTCACTTTGAATAGGGTGACGTCATCAGTTGCAGTCCGTATTTATTTCGTATGTATCACTACGAATTTGTATAGTCAAGATTTTCGTATACATTTTTACGAACAGGTTTTGGAGATCAGCCTGCAATTCCAAGCAAAAATCCACAAGACATTGATTTAAACACATTTCTGTTAAGTCACTATCTTTTGCCAAGTCAGGTATGCAGCCAGCGACCCAGCGGGAGCCTTTGCATTTATAGTTTTATGAACCGTGTGTCTTGTCTGGTGACATTCCTGTGAATCAGCACATTGTTCGGATCTCTGAGAAGTAAGAGAGGAAGTCATACCTTCTTTGTAGAACGGAAAACAGATCTTTGAGATAGCAACTTGAGCTTGTGACACATCAGTTGTGGAAGATAACTTACGTTGAACTAAATACAAGCTATTTACCTTCTGTATATGCTCTTATGTCTGGGTATGTTACTCTCTAATATTTTACAATTATCATTTCAGTCACCTGAAGCATGTCCTCCAAATGGACCAAACAACTCACACATAAGACAAAAACCTCAATACTCCCACAGTTCTGCAGGTCAAGCTCGTTGGCTTACAGTTAAGGGTCCTTTTTTAAAGAAGAATGTCAATTTCCATCCATGGAAACTGCAAGCAGGCAGCCGAGTCAATCAGTCAATTTTGAGCACTGCATAAGCGCAGTGTGCCCGAATCCTCCTCGTAAATATGATTCCATGCTATTTGAAATGTCAAACCTCTGGGAAATGGCATTGATTTGCTGATTTAGTCAATCACTGGTTATCAGTAACAGTAGTAGCAGTATTTAGAAGATGGACATTCCCATTTCCCGTCTACAATAGGCCTACGTTCCCTGGTTAAGGTGGGACATTCTTCCAGCATGTGGCATTTATTTTCTGTAATGATAGTGACTTGTATCAAATGCTTTTACAACATGTTCTCCGTTCTAATTCATGAACTGGACACATCTATGTTCATTTACGTTTCATTATTGCACTCAAAAGGGACATTATGAATGTGCACTTAAATATCACCGCACTTGAAGAACTTCTTGGCCACTCATATGCAAATACAGTTTAAGTGAAGCGATGAAGGTTGAGGGAAATAATTATTCACATATGTTTCCAAACTCTTGGGACAAGGGCAGCATGTGTTGAATGCTCCCTATAAGTAGAAGACAATCCAAGGATTTCAGAGTGGTTGTGCAATATAACCCGTGCATTTCACACACACACACACACCTGATTTATACTGCGTAGCTCTACCTGGCCGTCATTTGTCCACCCATTAAGGGGGAATCGAAGTTCACTGACCAGCAGAAACCTGAGCTCAATCTACCTACTGCTCTCTCCATCGACATTACATCCATATGATGGAGGGGGGGTTAAGCGGTGGAGGCAAAACTCTATCCCGGAGAGAGAGAGATCCGGAATACGCACACGGGCACTGAGCCTATACGACGGGCACACGCGCACCCAGGTCCAGTTATGGTTAACGTCATCTAGAAACAGACTTTTAGGACGTATTTTCCTTCACCCTGCGCTATTGTCTTCATGATTTTTTTTTTCTCATTACTATGATTAGCCATGACCACTGCCGCCCCGTCTGGAGAATCCGTCCCGTGTATCGAGCGTCCCACCGACGCACACGATCGCCCTCTGCAACAACTCGCTGTGCGGAGGAGAAGCGTATTGAAATTCAACCCACGCGCCGTGGATATGCAAACTCTCTCCCCCTCCCTCTCCCTCGCTCTCTCTGTATTCCCAAACCAACACAGAAAGAGTGCGGGTTTGTGCGTGTGTGTGGTGGAGCAGTGGAGACTGAGTGTGTCTCTGACTGAGACAACCCCCGTCCATCCACTGCACCCCGAGAAGTTCTCCACCCAGCTGCTCTCCCACCATCTCCATTGGTCTCACCCTGCCACCCAGCCACCGTCCAGCCATCATCACCCGTCTCCACCGGCCACCCAGTGATAACACTCCTGCTCTCAGCACTCTAAACCCGTCTCATCCAGACACCCGACAGGCCACCCGCTAATCCACCCACCCGGCGCGGGACCGCAACCCCCCCCCCCCCTCCACGCCCCCGTCCCCCTTCGCGGATGAAGTGCGCGCCGCCCGGCTGCGAGCGTCTTACCTTGAGCGCCTCTATATCCAAAGACGTCGACCGGTCCATGTCAGGGGAAGTGAAGTACCGCTGCAAATCAGTCACGAGAAATACAAGTCCCACTGGTAAGGACGACGAGGGGGGAAAAGAGACACCAACAACAACAAAAAAAGTTGTTATGCTCTCTGGAGTCCCAAACTCTGCTGCAACATCCCCTGGGTTGTTGTCAGGATTAGGTTATTAATATTCCGCCTCAGTTTCATTCCTCCCGGTGGGTCGATTGGTAAAACCAGGACTCCATACCGTGGATAGCACCCCCGCCTCCGGTCCCCGCTCTGTCCGTGCAGGGGATGGAGAGAATAGAAGAATTCGAATAGAATACAATTAGCTGTGCGTAATGGAGACGATCCGATGTGTCTTTTGGTGGTGTTGTTGTTGTTGTTGTTACATCTGTGTGCGAAAGCTCCCCCAGTGCAGGAATGAAGCCGGGATGCAGACGGACGGATGCCGTTGGATCCCGTTGGATCCCGGTAAGTGTGAGGACGGCGGCGTGTCTGCTCGTGCGCTGCTCGGAAACTGGAGAGAAGGAGTCCGGATCTGACAGCTGATATTCTGTCCTGCCTGCGTGACTTCCATGCGGCAACCCGCCAGAGATATCAGCTCTCACAGAAAGAAAAAGGGAAGAGAGAGGGGGGGCAGGGGGAGAGAGAGAGGGGGAGAGAGAGAGAGAGAGAGAGAGAGAGAGAGAGAGAGAGAGAGAGAGAGAGAGAGAGAGAGAGAGAGGGACCTGGTTGGAGAAATACCGAAGAGCCGAGATGAGGAAAGCTGTGAGAGTTTAGACGAGAGGAGAGAAGGAAGGGAGGCTTGTGCTGGGCATTATTCCAATAACTAACGCATTGGTTTTATGTGCACGCAGGTGTGTGTGTGTGTGTGTGTGTGTGTGTGTGTGTGTGTGTGGGTGTGTGTGTGTGTGTGTGTGTGTGTGTGTGTGTGTGTGTGTGTGTGTGTGTGCGCGCGCGCCCCGTGACAGTGAAAGAGGGGGCGTGAGGAAGGGGGAAAGGCTCTTTCTAATCAAGTAGATGAATCGAATATGCTGCTTTGCCACTGAAGACAAGAAAGAGATTTAAATGTGCAGGTTTTTCCAGAGAGTTTGGTACTGCCGCTGCCTCTGTGTGTCTGTGTGTGCGTGTGCGCGTAAACAAGCACTGAACTGATACAGTAGGACTCCAAATGAATATGATACAAAAAATAATCACATTGTGACTGAAATTAGACCTGCAAAAATAGATAAAAAAAGATGAAGCAGACCAACAGTTCAGCACATTTCCATCCTTTCTCTCTTTTTTATGGTGCAAATTGCCTTCAGTCTCCTGTACATTACAAGGTGTCGCCGCCTGCCGACCACAAGGGCTTTTGTTACACACCCTGTGGGGGGGGCAGGGGAGAGGAGCAGAGCAGTGGAGAGGTGCAACTACCAAAGGAGGGAAGTAGGGGAGAGGAAAGGAGAGGGAAGTGCTGGGAGAGGAGGAGAGAGAGGCACAATTTATGTAGAATCTATTATCACATCAGTTTGTGGCAAATTGTTCTCTCCAAGATTATCCCCCAAATATCATAATAGTGTGTGAAAACAAGAAAACAGGAACTTAAAGAAAGAACATGATGTGCACTCTCAATTTGCGGCTGCTGTGTAAAAAAATATGCAGACGTCTGCCCAAGAGTTGCCATTCAATCGAATGCAGTTACCCACCACGCTTCAAACCAGTCATTAGACATGATGACAGCGACGTTGGTCGGATTGGCTGAATAACTCTCTGCTGGCCGAGCAAAAAAAACACCCTGTCGCGCTGTGACAAGAAGGGATGTGAGTATCAACCCAACCACTTCCATTCCGCTGAGGATTTAAACCATAAGAATTATCATCCAGTTTATAATTGATCAATAACCTGTGGATCTGCAAACACAGTGTAGGTTAAGCTGCATCACCAGTATATCTTTTATTTCCAAATAGCTCTTGAAATTAATGGAACATCATGTGTCGGCTAATTGAGAAGGGAATCGACCTCCCAAAACTAATGGACGTGTTTCGGATTTACACCCTTTAGAATTTTGGGGTCACGTTTAAAATATTTATTTTGTGCCAACATTGTGTTTTTGTATGCTCAACCTGTTTTTGTGACTCATCTTTGCGGTCGCATCAACATTTCAGCTGGAATTCAGAGCCTCCATGTTTACAGAGGCAGGTACCAGATTGGGAGCATTCCAGAAGACTCAACTTTTCAAGTTCTGTCCACGACGTTCAAGTTTATGTTTAATGTGACTGTATGAGAGAGGTCACACACGCGTTCCCACTTTTGTGCATTTACACCCACACCCACACAAATAGATAGGCCTATTGAATGGCCCATGAGGACACAGGAACATTTGTTGAGGGAGTCGGTCAGAGATAACGCACATCATGGGAATGAATGCCTCACTCATTCTCTCTGCTCCTCCCTCTCTGTCTGTCAGAGTCGCTTCTTTGCTGCTGTCCTTTCTTTGCTCGCTCACTTCCCCTTTTGGTCCCTCTCCCCGTCTTTCCGTTGCAGCTTTGCCTCCAATCCTTTCCCCAAATACCTCCAGTCTCGCTCCCTTGGCTTTCTCCTTGGATGTGCCCCCCCCCCCCCTCTCTCTCTCTCTCTCTGTCTTTCACTTGTGCTCTTTTGCTATTTTCTGCTCCTACGTAAGTCAGGGACCTGCACCACCTCCGCCTCCCCATCACCCCCTTTCTTTCTTTTCTATAAACTTTGCGCTGTCGGGCAATTAATCATTTTCCCGAGGACTCATTATTTTGTATAAGGGAGGGGCTGACATCAGATACGGGGACCCGGTCTTTTGCCAGGTGGATATGACGTCCCCCATCACCCCCTCCTTCTCTCTCTCTCCCTCTCTCTCTCTCTCTCTATGCCTCTGATCCTTCCCCTGCCTTTCACCTGCGTGTCAATAAGCAGTCATTTCTTCTTACAAAAATATAGTATAATAATCTAGCTGGGTTTTTTAACAATGGCGCTCTGTTTTTCTCTCCTTATTCCTCAAAGATGCTTTACTGAAGTTTCATTTTACCTGACCGACAACTCAGGAGCCATCGTCATCACAGACGTCTCTCTCCCCCCGTCCCCCTTCTGCCTCTCTCATATGACACTCTTCTAGGCTGTGAGCAGATAGGGGCATTATTCTTCTGCTTAAATGCAAAGAACAGCTTTTTGCTTTGCTGCCTGCAGAGAGAGAAAAAGCATGTGGGAGGGTCACATTTTGTCGCCGTGTAGCACAAAGTTGGAACTTACGTTAGTTAATTGGCTGGCGAAAGTGAGATAACGTACAGGGATGGATGTGGAAATGGAGGGAATGTAATGGATGTCTCCACTTGCTATTTACAATGGATGGCGGGATGTTGAGGGGGGCCCTGGTTTCCTCAGTACATTCATGTAGCAAAGACAAATAGTGTGTTGGTTTTACCGTCATCACAGGTTTCCCCACTTCAACCTCGGCGCTACCTTGATACATGTTGATATGTATTTGATCACATGTATTTGATCAAGTTGTGGTCTTTATTTTAGTCTACATCTTTACATGGTGACAACAGATGTCAATGGTATCCCTGCAAGATGGAAGAATTCTCAGAGCAGTTATAATTTTGAAAAGATATGTAATTGTTTTTTGGACAGAACAATCATTTTCAGTGATAAAAAATGGCGTTGCAATTAATTATTGCTCGAATATTGAAACAGTTAATTCGGAAAACACTGTCTAAACAGCCGTCACTAAAACAAAATGTTCCCTTTGTGCAGCTTATTAACGTATGTGATCTTTGCATTAAATAGTTGAGTAACATAATCACCATGAAAGACAATTCCAAGGAAATCTTTGACAAAAGTGTAAATGTTTCCATGAAGGACTTACTACAGACCAATGAATTGTGGCGGAACAAGACTGCAACACGTACTTATTGTTTCACGGTGCATTAGCTTTAATATTCCAAAATGCATTTTATTTCAGCAGTGTGTTTGTGTCTGTGAGGGAGTGAGTCGGAGTGAACAAGATTTTTAATATAATAATTACAGTATAATGGTTTACCCATGCAAACCAAAAAGTCATCATTGCAATGACAGTTTTACAAAGGTAATAGTAATGTTTATTGGAGGGCTAATGAACTCACAAAGTGCTGAGCTGTAATTTCATGGCGAGACTGAGAGACATGTCACCCCAGGATGATTTCACATAAATCATCTTTCCCACTCAATTAACTCCATTGAGTGTCTGCTACGATTTCCCCCACTGTCTCAGAATAGCAACTGTCCAAAGCCTTTTTGTTTTGGTTTGTTTGTAATTTTTCTTTGCTGTAGAAATTAAATTTAAAGCCTGCATGACTTTCTCGGTAGGCTACACTGTTGAGGTCAGGGTGCCATGTCAAGTGTTTTATAAGAAAAGTATTAATGTGTGCAGTCTATTGAAATGCAATAACTTAATGTGAAGAGTCTGGCAAAAATTTAATCGCTTCAATCATTCATAAAAGATACTACCTCCAAAGTTAAAACAAAAAGAATGACCTCTAAATGAGAACATAAAGCGTACTGTGCTATTTAATGGCGTTGAGCATGTAAAACTACAAATCCCAGAAGTGCCCGCTCTTCTTTGCCCGTTGATTGGTGGACTCAGCGTCCAATCACTTGGCAGAGACGTGTCTTTCAGTTTCAGTCAGAGCATCCTTCCGTTATGGCGTCCGTTTGGGCTAAATCCCTCTCCAACCTGCCGGTCCTGTCTGTTTTCGTCCTCTTGCTGATATGTCTGCCACCCGGGGGGGGACAAAAGAAGAAGGAGGTAATGGCCCAACCGCCTAAAGGCACATTTCAGAGGCCATTGTCGTGGCGTTTAATGTGTTGGCTGTGCAGGTGGAATGTGCTGCTGTGTGTTAAGCTAGCGAGCTTTAGTCCCGATGGACAGGACGTTTTTTGACGGGCAGACGTTTTAATAATTATTAATTCTCTTTAGGTCAAATTAAACGCTAGTGACGTAAGGTTCAACAAAGGAAGCACTGTACACACTATGACCTTTTAACGTTTTGTGGAGGATATCTTCCCGTTTGCTAGCTTTCTGCATAATAGAACACGTCTGTTAATGGCTTGTCATCACGTTAGCAAGCTAATGCTGCTAGCTAATGTTTAGCGTATCAACGTTACTCTTTAACAAACTAATGTTATATGCAGTCGGAGTGCAGTAACGTTACACGCTACGTGTGTACATCGACACTTTCATAATGTCTTCACAGACGTGATCACAAAGCGTTGATGGGTTGTCGCCAACGGGGCTTTTATTCTGAAATTTGCATCTGCAGGAAGTGCTGCGTTTGCCTTCACGGGAGGTTAACGTGGAGATTTAAGATGATGCAGGCGAGGATCTCTTATCAGATCAATTACTTTAAAGCAAAACGGAATCTGTCCTCGCTGGTTCGTTTGTCGCTGTGCTGACATGTCTGTTTACCTGCTGTCGGATCAATGATGTGCCCTGTAATAATAGTTATGGCTCACATATTTGTACTATGATGGTGATATGTAAGCGGACGTGACACGCTTTCATGTTTCTGTATTGGAAACAGAGACGAGAATGCAAATTGTAAACCTGGTGGAGGAGTAAAATTGACTAATTATTTTGGGATTATTCTTGTTCATGAGTGTTGTTAACATTTAAAAAAAAAAAGTAAACCGAAGCCACTGGTGTTGTTGCAGTTTTAATACTTACTTACGTAATACTGAATTATGCCGATATACTATTAACATACGTATTTGTTATTGACGTTAACATTACATTAATAGCAATATTAAAGCAAGTTTTCAACCGTCTTAGAGGTGAGTTTTGTCAAACTATATCCTTCATTCAAGAATGTGCCATTTCAAAGATTTTAGCATATATTCATAACCATTTGAATAATATCGGCAATTTGTTGGCCAGGATAATCAAGTAATGTTCAATTCATCCAATGCCTACAGTGAATGCGTTTGATTGTCTTGATGCGCCTTGTTGGAAAACGTCACCCATTGTTGCACCAAAAGTTCTCCTCAAGAAGCTTCTACTCGGGTGACCCGGATATTTTCTTTCCTCTGCGTGTGGCCTCGAGCCGACATGACATGACATTAGACGTCCGTACGGGAACCTGTTCAGTCACTGAAGTCGGGTCTACTGTGCGATCATTTTGACATTCAGCTTGATATATTTGTGCATCTTTGTAGCCCGCTATGCTGCTGTACTGTGTTTATTGGTTCTGCTTTTTTCGTTGTGGTCTCTTTTGTTTTGTGAGCTGGAGACAAATTGTCAAATCAATTCTACTTCAACCGTTTTAATTTGGGGCCCAAATCATTGCAATAGGCGGCCTTAGTTAGTTGTAGCTATGTCGCAGTGGTGCACCTATTCCTGCTGACTTTGCATACAAATAGGGAATTGATGGAGCGGGAACTAATAAATGATGGGACGCTCCTATAAATACATGACAAGTAGACAAATATTTCAATTAACGTACAAATAATTGTACATCGCCAAAAAGCGACGAATAAAGGGCTGACTGAGTGGGAGAAAAGAACTGATGAATAAAACAGAAAGATTGACCTCTGGAAAAAGCATTGTGAATAAGAGAGGGATTGAATAAATAATTGAGACCGACACATTTGCCCTCCAGATGATTGTAAACACCTCATTGTTTTTTCTCCCACTAATGTTGATGGCTTTCGTAATGTATAAATGTGTAATGAATGTGTCACAGCCAATGGAGCTACTCACTCTAAGAACTCGTAGTGTTGACTTTTAGCTTTCAGCTAACTCTGTCAAAATATTGGAATATTATTATCCACGTTGATTTTCTTCCCTCTGTGTACGTGAGCTTCAGAGGCTACAAGCTGAGTAAAGTGGATGCAATCATCATTGGTTGAATGCAAAGATACACACTTGAACATATTGAGTTTCTTTACAGGCCTTAGAAAGAAGGTTATGTGGTGAAAAATCTGTTTATACTTCAACCACCATTATGATATTGTTGAAACAAATCTATCACAGCTTTGAGAGAAAAAAATCTATATACTTGTAAATATTATACAGTATTCTGTGGATGAACAAAAACCAAATTCTACAATTTTCAGCTGTTCCGATTTTGTTTATAACTTAACTTTGAATAAATCGCCTGTTTTTAAAACCTTTTTACCGAGCGGACGGTCTGCGGAGGCCGGTGCTTATTTCCAGAAACGCCTTGATTCACATTCACAAAAGGACACCAGGGAGCTTCTCTCTACGGCCGCAGTCTGCTCTTCCGCACTGATTAGTGACGGAGAGCTCTTCCTAATCACTCCCCTTGCTGAAACACATCCAGCTGTTGGTCGCTCCTCTGCCGACTGTCGACATTGCCGCCATCTTCGCAAAGTTTTCCCGCCGACCTTTAACTTTGGTCCATCCTGTGCGACTCCATATTGAGTAGCAGACGCACGACAGACACACGTTCTGGTACACACACACACACACACACACACACACAGTCCTATAGTTTTGACGAGCAAACCGGAGTAATATTGATGCGTTTTAATGTGAGAAATGTTCTTTCCCAGTTGCCTGCCTGCGGCCGTGGCAGATGAGGAGGCGGAGGGTGATCTTATTTAGCTGGAAACGGACAAAATGGCGAAGCAGCATTTTTGTATTCATCTCTCCACTCCCTCAGCGCCCTTTGTCTCGCCCTGTCTACAAACTTTAGTGAGACATATGTGAGCCTATAGGCTGCAGGTTTGAACATTTTTTGGTTTGTCCTGAAGTCATTTCCTCTCATTTGGTTTTCTAGTTAGTTGTTGCGGCTTAAACAAGATGAAACCTCCTGTGAAATAGGGAGTCAGCCCTTGGTGGCTAATTTATCAATGCCTTCATGAGTTTCACAGGAAAAGCCCTCCGGTTATTGAGGGCTTACAGTTGCTTTCACAGTTTGGCAGAAAAGGAGTAATTACATGATGCAGGTTCACTACTTCTTTGTTGCTAACCAAATTCAAATGGGCCCATTACAGCGGGGCACTTTTTACATTAGAAGTGTGCCCTCATTGTTCCAGATGACGTGCAGGGTTCTCAGTAGGGGTGTAACGATTCATTTTACTAACGATTCGAGTCAAATCGCGATTCATGGTTGCTGATTCGATTCATGGACGATCTGGGTTAATTTAGCTCTAACGAATCTAACGATTCAATTCAGTGACTTAAAATCGATTCAGTAACTTTACTGGACAGTGCAGGCAAAGTTTCTGAGATCCCTGTTGTTTCTTGTAAGGAAATCAGGTTTAAATTAATTATGGATATTATAAACAAGCAAACAACAATTGATGGCAAATGTATTAACCTTTTATCGTCCATTTTCAATGTAACACAATGTTTGGATCAATTTACAGAACCCTGGATTTTTAACCACATTGTAGGGTCGCATGTCTTTACAGATAAACTTGGCAATTGTTACTGTGATGTTGAGTTTGGTGCTGGCGAGGCCTGAGGCGTCTGCAGAGCTGAGTTAACTGCTGCTGCTGCAGCGGTGACGCTGCTAGAGGTCCTGACTGTCGGCGTTGTTTAATCCCACGGCGCCTTAGTAGATGGCCAGAAAGATTCGTCTTGTTTCAGTGTTTTTTTATTTGTCTTCTACGTATTCTACAAACAGCGACCGACTTATTTAGAACACCTCTGTGTTTGCAAAAGCCAAAATGTTTCCACACGCTGGATCGATAAGTTGGTTTGTAAATGTCTTGCTCGCAGTCGTCTCCTCCACGCTGTGTTTTGTTGTTGAGTTTCGCGCGGCTGCCGCTGCGTACTGATGGCGTCACAGACAGCAGACTGAATCGAGTAACGTTTAACGTGTCTAAAGTACTAAAGAAACAAACAAACAAACACACATCCACACCGTTTTTGTGCTTAAATCCAAAGTATCGATACAAATCGATTATGTACCATTTCAATCGATTTGTAATCGATATATGTCGTCCGGAATGCCGATTTGCGGAGCTCAGATCGATTCAGTTGGATCGCAGGAATATAAATCGATTAATCAATTCAGTGGATGAATCGTTACACCCCTAGTTCTCAGTCAAAATATTGGAAAAATAGGAAAGAAGTCAAAGCTCCTGCAGGCACTAGGACCCGTGAGCACTTTCCCCTGACGCTCTGTGACCTCGCCCGTGAACTGTGTGACCTCTATTCTGGACTGAAGCTGCGTCACAGTGGCACAGTGTTTGCATCACTGGGCTCCTGATCGATCCGTTTGTCCGTCTTCTAGCTCTTCTTCTCTGTCAAACATGATCGCCGACTGTCACACTGTGCGTGGGGGTGGGGGGGGCAGGTTCCTTTGTGCAGGGGCGTCTTCTGATTGCACAACACTAACCAAGCAGGTTATTGCACAGGTTAATTGTTAGATAAAGAGTTAAAAAAACAGGATTGGAGAAGTTAATAAAGTGGAATTGATCGATGTTGTGACTTAGGAAGAGCAATACATTAATTTAAAGAAATAAAAAAGGGAAAATTAACAGAATACGTTGTTTTAACTCACCCTTTTAGAATGCGCCCCTTTAAGAAGTGTAAAGAAATAGTCACGGAGAGAAAAGATATTTATATCCCTTCAATACTCCCTCGTTCATCACCCCGACCCTGCTAGATATTATATCTAGCTTGTGTTGTGTTTCTGTCTTAAGGCTGACTACAGCACAAAGAAAGAACCAATGTAAGCACTTCCTGTACCCAGACCCACGAGTCAGGGGAGGTAAAGATAGAAAAAAAAAGTCCAAGGCAGCAGGTCTGAGGCAGAGAGAACTATATATCTAGAG